TTATGTTGTTGTCACTGTTGTGTATATCATCAATCATTTACCAACAAAAGTATTAGATGGTGTGCCTCCTCTTGAGAAGCTATGGGGAAAGAAGCCTGAGTATGAGTTGATGAGAGTGTTTGGATGTAGGTGCTATCCACACTTGAGAGTGTTTTAGAAGCACAAACTGGATTTCAGGTCGCAGTCGTGCACGTTTTTAGGGTACAATTCACAACATAAGGGTTACATGTGCCTAGCTACTGATGGAAGAATTTATATATCTAGGCATGCAGTTTTTGATGAATAAATTTTTTCATTCATGAGTGCTCCTGTTTCTCATGTAACATCTACTGCTGCAATTTCGAAATCAATGTCACTTGAGCTTGTTGCAGATGTTGGCAGATTAAAAGGTGGTGGTGCTGCTGTGAGAATTGATCCAGTAACTGTCACTTCGAGGGAGAATTTAGCACATGAAGATACGATAGGGATAACTGAGGATGAGTTTTCCAATTTAAATGGTGAGGATGATCAGAATGGTGAAGCTGATAATGGTAATGTTGAGCAAGGTAGTGATGACTTAAGTGCACATGGTGATCATGATTCAAGTAGAGCTGTTCAGACCATAGTGAATCACCATCCCATGCTCACGAGAAGTAAGTGTGGTGTATTCAAGCCTAAAATGTATTATGTTATTGGTGACACAATGGAGCCAGTAAATATGCATGAGGCTCTTTAGTCTCCACATTGGAGGAGTGTTGTGCATCCAGAACTTGAAGCCTTGAGGGTAAATGGTACATGTCACTTGTTCCATTGCCTGAAGGAAAGTCAGTGGTGGGTTGCAAGTGGTTGTTCAAGGTGAAAAAAAAATCCAGATGGATCCATTAGTCGATACAAAGCACTGCTAGTAGCAAGAGGGTATTCCCAGGTTCCAGGCTATGATTTTAATGAAACTTTTAGTACTGTAGTGAAATTTGCTACACTTAACATAATATTGTATTTGGTTGTACCAAGGGGCTGGCAGTTGCGACATGTTGATGTAAACAATGCGTTCTTGCATGGGCATTTGCATGAAGATGTATTCATGCAGTAGCCACCTCGGTTTGAGCAAAAGGCTTCTGATGGCACTGTGTTGGTGTGTAAACTTCAGAAGGTCTTGTATGGCTTGAGACAAGCACCACGCAGCTGGCATACAAAGTTGAAGCAATGCTTGCTGCAAATAGGATTTAAAGAATCCAAGGTAGATACTTCATTGTTTATACGCTATGTTTAAGGGATGCATGTATATATGTTGGTTTATGTCGATGATATAGTGATAACTGGTGAGTCAAGTGCACAGATTGAAGAGGTTGTTAAATTGTTGAGTGATAAATTTGCTCTGAAGGATCTTGGAGAGCTTAGTTTTTTTCTTGGTATTGAGGTTAAACGATGTGGTGAAACATTGATTCTTAGTCAACGCAAGTTTATATTGGACTTGTTAATGAAAACTAAGATGCAGAATGCGAGAGCTATGTTTAATCCTATGCTGGTTACATCGAGACTTGCACAGGATGCTGGTGAATTGTTATCTGATGCATATGAATATCGTAGTCTGGTAGGTGTACTTTTGTATGCTTTCCATACGAGTCCAGATATTTCTTTTAGTGTTAATAAGGTGCCACAATACATGCATGAACCAAGACAGGAGCACTTTGTGGGTGTTAAACGAATTTTAAGGGTACTTGGTGGGTACGCTTAATCATGGTCTGGTTATAGCACCAACAGTTGCAGGACTTCATGTTGTAGCCTTTGCTGATGTTACTGGGGTGGCAATACAGATGATAGAAAGTCCATTACTTGCAATTGCATTTTTGTTGAAGATAATCTAGTTATGTGGAGTTCCAAAAAGCAAAAGTCGGTTTCTCGGTCCACTATGGAGGCTGAGTATAGGAGTGTTGCTGATGCTACTGTTGAAACAACATGGGTGAGTGCACTACTTGCAGATATGGGAGTGCAGCAGTTGAAGACTCTTGTAGTTTGGATTGACAATAACAGTGCAGTTGCCATAACTGCAAATCCAGTGTATCATGCTAAAACAAAGCATGCGGAGCTTGATGTTCATTTTGTAAGAGAAAAAGTTGCAGCCAAGCATGTGTTGATAAACTATGTTCTTGCTAGTCATCAAGTAGCAAATGGCCTCACCAAGCCTTTGTCAACAACACAATTTGAAATGTTTCGTGCAAAGCTTAATGTTCAGTCGATTCTTGGGGGAGAATAAAAAAAGTAGGGAGAATGTTAAGTATAGTTGAGGTTCAACTAGGTGCAGTGCAGGTGTAAGGCTCGGGTAGTTGTAACTAAAGTAGCTCTTGATGTTAGTTAGCAGTTAGTTTGTTACTTGGTACTGTTAGTTTAGTTAGCAGCAGTTAGTGTGTCATTGTCAGCTGTATAAAACATCATACAAGATCTTTTAAATGCATGCTTGTATGTACGTGGAACACAAGGTTCTTAACATTGAGGTCGTGGGATCAAGTCCCATGGAGGACATTTCATAATTCAGAGGTCTCTTACGGAATCTGCTCTCAATCTGGTGTTGGGGTAGCCTACTATCTTACCTCCCCTTACCCTATATATATAGGAAAAAGGGACCGTCATTTTTTTTGTATGTACGTTCTGGAATTCATGAACTTGTTGATTTCTCAATACTATCTAACAAAATAAATAATAATAACACTAATATTTAATAATAATATTATGAAAGTCGATCTTGGACAAAATTATGTGTCTACAGTAGGTAAGAAACTTTCGGTAGAAGAAGAAAAAAACTTGCTTTCCAATGTCACTTGGCTTTATTCATTAATGGATATTTGTTTACATACCCAAAGCAAACAAATTGTAAGACAGAGTCCACGTGGGTTATAACCTTTCTCCCTGATGTTCTCTTAAGGAAATTATCGTCATACCGTTTTCATGCCCCCTTCACGATACAACTCGATTAATCTCTTTTCCTCTCACTCCCACAACCTCAAATATTACAAAACAAAACAAAAAAAATGAAAGCTCCCAACAACAACAACTCCAAATCAAACTGAAAAACAAAGTGTTCGTCAAAAAAAGAGCGTTAGTTTTCAGATTCTTTGGCTAAAAAAAGGATCCCAGAATGGCGAGCGGGTGGGTCAAATCTTTGCAATGCAAGTCGAGAGCTTATGAAGATGTTTATCGCCCCAGCCCCAAGCATTTGATTCCCAGTACAAGTTGTGCACGGAGTTCTCAGAGTATCAAGGACGTCATCGAAACGGCCAAGAAAAAACCCAAGAAATCGGACCCCAAGTCTAACCCGAAACCGTATTCGAGGTCAAGCAGTAAGTCCGAGTCCGAGTTGAATATTCCTCCGCCTCGACCGTGCCGGAGTACTTCTCTCCCTGCCCGTCCCCTTAGGAACACTGACCCTGTCCTGCCAGCACTCACGGAACTGCCCGAGGGTCACACTTCGAGGAATGTGGTAGAAATTATTTTTCATACGAGTTGGAGCCCCAAGGCTTTCACGGGTCGGATCGAGATGGTTTTTAAAGTTCAAAATGGACCGAGGACGGTGAGTAGGTTCGAGGAGTATCGAGAGGTGGTCAAAACTCGGTCCGGCTCGGGCTCGGGTTCGGGTGATTCGGCTTCTGCTGACGAGGAAAATGCGAGGTGCTTCGCGGACGGTAACGAGGTAATGCGATTCCATTGCTTGGGTTCAAGTTCGGGGAACTACGGAATGAACGACAAGTGGCTATTTTCCGGCGGGAAAGGTGCTGCCATTTGCACTTATTCCGGTAGCGGCGGCGGTCATGATAGCGCGGGAGGTGGGAAGGGGAGGAAGGCGATGTTGGTTTGCCGGTTATCGCTGTCGAGTCTCGAAGCGGGTGGGGTTCGGGTACGAGCCGTTGGTGGAAGGGAGAGTCGGGTATGACTCAGTGAGTGGAGACAACGGCGAGCTGCTCGTGTTTGATACGCGTGCAGTGTTGCCTTGCTTTTTTATTATCTATAAATTGTAAAAATAGCTTTAAAAAAACTATTTTTTCCCTTTTAAATGTTCTTAAAATATTTTTTTATGAAGGAAGTGCATCGTCTTTGTTGCATTTATCAACACAAATTTTTTTCCCTTTCTGTGTGGGATTATTATTATAAAAAAGGGAAAATTGAGTTGATAAATGCTAATTGATCCACTTCCCTACCCTTTGTCTTTTATCTTTTACTACTTAAATTGTTGTCGACTCATTAATTAACCCAATTTAACGGTTGGCGTTTGTTGTGTTTAAATGGATTTTGAATTAAAGCATTTTTACCATTTGTGGATTACAGGATGAAGAACGGATTGGATTTGATGTCAATTAGGTGATCTTTATGATGTTGTGGAAGTTAGGATTATAATTTTCGAGTTTGATTCAACCCACTTCACAAACTCACCTTTAGTTTCCAATTGTGCTATACATCAATATTTTTTTTATACTACTTTGAATCTTTGTATTCTCTGTGTCCGTAAATCGAGTTTAAATTTTAAATGTGAATAAAATAATTACCGTTCTCTATAAAAGATTTAGATTCAAACAATTACGTTTGCGAGATGTATATTAATACTAACAATTATTATTTTATAATCATTATTTAATATTACAATTTTAATTTTCAACATTTATAGTTCTTAAAAAAAACCTTTATTTATACATGTTACGTCAATTTTAAGTTTTCGATCAACCCATTGAGCTAATCATATTGTACCCAAATATACATTGCTTTATGCTTAAATGCTACTGCTGGTTCAGCTAATGTTTTTGTCTGATGCTAAAATGATGATAGTATCAGAGCAATGATTATGAACAAGTGAAGCAATAGATATGTTAAATCATGATAGATTGACCTCTCCATTTGGCAGGCATAATTGGGATCGTTCAGTGCCCAATGTCATCAATGAAACTAAACCTAAAATACTAAAGAGTTTATTTGATTACTTTATTTATGTATTTTTTCTGCATTCATACAACCGACCAAATGCTATAATGTTGTCTTCAGTCACCGGCCGACAATGACATCCAAATGGAACGTGAAAATGCAAGGGCACTAATGGGCTGTATAATCCTAAACTTTGCCGTCTGTCCCTTAGATTAAGGAATGCAGCAACCAACTTTGCATTATTATTTCCTGCTCAAGTTATTTCAAACCCTTAATTCATTTGCCCTTAAGCTCATTTCTTCAACTTTGTTGACGAATACTACAATCAATGAGTGCGATGTTCAACTCTTTCTCTACAGTGACAACAAATCTACATCTTTAAACCCAGAAATATGGTCTTTGCTTTCTCCGTCAAACTTCCCTAATGACAGTTCAGTTTTTTTTTTATAGAATAAAATAGATTGCAGAGCTATTATCCATGGAGCCCTAATGTACAAACTGAATCATCAGCCAGGATCAACGGGACTCCAGAAGGACGTATAATGGCTTGCCATTCAACCGTTCTCGACCCTACAAAATTCGCCAAATTTAAATGTGTTATTACAGAAGACTTAACAGAAAAGGCAAGACTTCTAATCTTCCATCAACTGTCGAGTGCATTCGGAAATAAAATACACACCTTTAAGTCGGGTAATTCGATAACACATGCGCATTCAACTACATCGGCCCCGACTCGTTCTGAAGATGCACATTTATAGTAAGATTTCAATAACCAAGAAAAGACATCTTTGACAAGATAATAACCAATGGAAAAGATATCATAGATCATAGTTCTATTTCTGAACGAAATATAATCGCAACGTAACTCGACTCAAACAAAATGTCACCTAACCTGCTAGTTTCATTCGGACAAGATACAGCCTTTTAAATTGATAACAACTTCTTGTTTGTCTGAAGAGTTCATAAGCTTACCGAGTAATTTCATAGCAGCACAAAGAGTGCCTCCAGTTGCTATCAAGTCATCAACAACCAAGGCCCGGTCACCAGGTTCGACAGCTCCGAGATGTATCTCGAGACAATCCCTTCCGTATTCCAGTTCGTACTCTTCCGAAATAACTTTACCTAACACCATTGCACATTTTAAAAAGAAGCAAACATACAAGTTAGCCTCATGAATTGAATAAAGAGGATTGAGCTGCTGTATTAACAGGGTTCTCTGCTACACGGATAGCCAGATAAATTCTAATCACACAAGCCTGCCATGTATTTTACAAGGAAACTATAAAAGAATTTTGTCATCTTGTGCATAGCTGCGCACTAGGACAATGTTGCAGAATTACAAGTATTACCAGGCAACTTCTTCGGTTTTCTCAAGGGAACGAACTTTGCTCCAATTTCCAGTGCATGGGAGGACCAAAGATAAACCCCGAGCTTCTATACCTGTGATTCAAGCTTTTTTATTATCATCTATAATCAAAGATACACAAATGGGGAAAAGAAAAGTGAATGCAGAAAATTCCAAATGACACGACAAATTGAAACACAAGCATTGCTCCAAATTCATCCACCATTCCCTCTCTGCTTCAATAAAAACAAGCTTCTCCTCAACCTCTGACAAATCTAAAACATTAACAGCCCCAATGACAAGCCATTCAGTACAGTACTCAATGTTTTTCATCAACTTAACCACAACTGATAAAAAGTAGATTACATCATTTCGGTCGAAGGCTAGCATGAATTTACTTTCACGTGACTTTATAACTCGGGTAGATGTGATATGGAACCAACTTATAACCAAAAGATGCAAAAACACGGTCAATGTTGCCCCTTGACATGCTTTGTTGTCGAGTTTCAGTTGATGTACAATCATGAAAATCTTAAATGGGATCGGTAAAGAAAGCCTCTCTAGCAGAAGCTAGAACATGCAGAACCAATGTTTGTCATGGACAAGAATTTTAAGTCGATTAACAGTTTATTGCAGAATAAAATCAGATTTGAGTCAAATGAAAAACAGTTTCAATTCCCATGGCAATCAGTATAACAAACTTCATTGTTCGTTTATGAAAATCAAAACCCCAGCAATTTAATCTAACCGACTGGATAATGTTCACCAGAATGGTGATAAGATAAGATGTCCATATCTTGTAAGACGCTGCAACTTTCCATGGAAGGCCGCATAAAAGTTCATAAACACAACAAGACAACCTAAGTCTACATTAGCACACCAGGAGACAAACTCTAATGCACATGAAATAAGACAAAGCACATAAATAATAAATTCTTAAATAATTATTTTCACTTTAAAAATAAAAAATAATGACAAGGCACCCCTATCAATGATAAGAAACACGCAGCAAATAATCATTTCATTCAGAAATGTAAACACTAATCAATCAATGAAGGTTGGCCACAACCGCTAATGGTCTGGACATCCATCAATCTCCCCGCATCTATTTCAATAGTTCCAAAAGATTCATCAGCTAATGGTTAATGAAAGGGAAACATATGAGAGAAAAAAAAAGTAGAATTTCAGTAACTTCATATTTAACTCAAGGGTCTTGAAAACAACAAATGCATCATACAAAATAGCATCAATCATTCAGCAGTAGCAAATCAGATAACCACATAAAGGTTCTATAATTAAACTTCAAAATTATGGTGGGGGCTTCCATCAACAACCACCATCAAAGCCAAGTAGGATCCAAGCACATGGCCACAACAAGAATGTGTGTGGGTAAGAAAGGGAGGGAGGGAGCAATCAGTGGCTCACCCCCACTAGCAAGGGTGATAGTCAAACGAGATATGAAGTCCAAAGAAAAAAAAATCACTTCCATTCCAAAATCCGTTAAAGAGCATTCAAAAAGACAACCAGAAATTTATGCAACTTGAAGGGGCATATCTTTTTTCACTCCTGTTTCTACAGGAGCTTACTTTCACATAAGTATGGACCCTACCCACATTGATTCTGTTCAAAGGGCCATAAAAAAATTCTTAAAATATTGGACCTTTTAATATGAGGTGATTACAAAGGACGTTCAAAAAAATGACAGAAAGAATTTTCAAGTATTTAACAACAAACGTTCAAATAACCTTAATACTAGATGTGATTGAACTTAGGAACTCTGTGAACTTAGGAACTCTAGGAATAACAATTTGTTAACCTTTCTGACATCAAAACGTATAATAATAACCCAAATATAAAAGGGTTTTTTTCTCCCTTATCTTCACTTTCGTTTTACCTGCAACGACTGAAATGTTCTTCCCTCTGTATCTTTCAACGAACAAATCCACAGTATCCTTGAATGCTTTAGGATCCAATAAAAGAGTAGTTATATCTTGAAACATAATGCCTGCCATTTCAACCATAAATAATACCAAATTCACAATCTTACATTAACAAGCAAAAACCTGGAACTAATTTAGTAAAGCGTGCAATTTTCTTTCAAAATGACAAGTTCCTAACTTGAATTGGGCAGAAAAGCCGTATCAATTATCTATATAGCTTCAGTCTTGACGATAGTTTGTATGATTCCAGGGGCAGGAAAAATCAGGTTTTTAAACCATAATCCATTTTTTAACATTTTCGTGACAACCATGGATAATAAGCAGGAACGAATACAGATTACATGACGGAAAAAAGAGACCAAGAAACCATTTTTTTTGGCAAGGTAACAAAAGGAAAGAAGAAACAGAGGAACCTGATTTGGGGAAATTGGGGACAACACGAATCCTGGATTGGATGCCATGAATACGGGGATCTTTGTCTCTGTAAGCCGACATTGTCTAATGTTTTTACGTAATCTATCTAACTATGCTTCACGGTCTATTTAATCTTATTCCTCTGTTTCTTTAAACCGTGCAAGCAAAGTAGAAAGAAACAACCTTTCCTCTAGTCTCTCCCTCTCTCCCGACGCTCTTCCTTTGATACTTCTCACCTCCCAAACACAAACAAAAACACATCCTTCTACTGGAGGGCGAAAAGGAAAATAAATGACTATTTATAGGGAGAGATTTTAGTTGTTGGCTAGATAGAGAGAGAGAGAGCTCCTTACGCAAAAAATATAGAGAGAGGAGGAAGAAATCTTTGCTGTGATATTTAGGGTTGTGTAAAACTACCCGACCTAGTTGATTCTATCCGCTGATTCGGATCTAAAAAATCGAGTAATTTTTAAAAATGATTACCTAGCCCGACATTTCTCGGGTTAGCCTCGGGTCACAAAATCTAATTTTTCTGGGTATTTGGTTATCCGAGTACCCGATTAGTTTTTATTATATATATATATATATATAATATAATGATTATTTATATTATAGATTATTAAATTTTTTATTTCGAACTTTTAAATTTTATGTTTGGATATTAGAGTAATTAATTCGAAGTTTAAACATTTAAATTTGTGTATATTTTTTTTAAATTAATAATTTGAAATGAAAATAAAAAATCGGGTACCGGATACCCGAAATATCCGAGTCGGACACGGGCTGAGAAATCACCGACCAAAAATTCTAGATACCCGAAAATCGGGTACCCAGATTTGCACACGCCTAGTGATATCTTACAAGTAAGGGAGAGAGTGTGTAAAAAAATTAAAAACATAGATAAAATATGTAAATATTCATCAAATTATATGATGTTTTTCAGTCTCCTATATTAAAAAAATTATAAAATGGTAATTTGATTTTTAAAAATTATAAATTATTTATTTATTAAAAATAATGATAAATAATATTACAGTTAATTAAATTAACATATAATAAATTTATATTTTAAAATTCAATCTTAATTCTAAAAAATTAACTCTCTAAAATTCAACTTTAGCAATCTAATTCCTAAACTCACTTATTTCCTTTTCTAGTCGAAGAAAGGAAAACATTGAAGTAACAATTTCAAAAAGAAATAACGTGTTAATTGAAATTTTTAAACATCTATTCTAAAGATTATTACCTATTATTTTGATTTCTAATATTAAAGAATTAAAAATTATGTCATTTTACCATAATAAACAGATGATTAATGTTAAAAAAATGAGTTTTGGCTTTTTTTTCTTCCAAAAAATAAAATTTTAATTCATTTTAGTGTTTGCTTAGTTCATTCTTGCTCTTCTCAATGTTTCTTGCTTTCATGATCTACTGTTCATTTGATGATCTACAAGTAGCACAATCTAATTAAAATTGTAATAATTTTTTTTGTGTATTTTGATTAACGTGGGTGTATATTAATTTATGTTGATTCGTACACGATTTTAATATTTAAATTATTTTTAATTTTTAAATTTTACTGATTTTTAAAATAAAACATAACCATTTAATAACTCATTGAATTTATTTAATTATATCAAAGCACACTGGTATCATATATATATATATATATATATACACACACCATGTATATCACTATTATAAAAAAGATATATTCACCAATATTGACTACCTTAATTTATGACCAAAAGGATGTTTATTAAAAATATATTATATGTTTTCAGTGATTAAAAATATGTTGTTTCTCTTAAGATTTTAGATTCGAATAAATGTACGCACATAGTATATTACCATTAGACAATAGTGGAACCCAACGGGGTAAGTGGGGCCAAACCCCATTTGAAAAATTAGAATTTAGATCTTCAAAATTTTCAAAATATTTAATTTGGTCTTCACAAAATTTTAAAAAAAATCATGTTAATCTTTAATTTTTTTAATATTCTTAATTAAATTTCTCCCATAATTTTTAAAAATTCTCATTTAGTCTTTCAAAATTTCAAAAACTTTAGTTAGATCCCATTTTTTTAAATGTAAATTGAACCTTCAAAATTTTTAAAAATGTTAATTTAAACCTCTAAAATTTATAAATTTTTAAGTTGACTCCTATAAACTCTATCATCAAGTTCTACCACTACCAGTAACTAAGTACGATTATGAACAAATACTAGTTTTATTACTCTGTACAACTAAAAAAATTGTTTATAACTACTTGGAAGCTTTAAAAGTATTTCTTTAACCTAAAAGTAATACAGTATGAAATAAATAATTTTTTACAGTTATAAAATGATTTTTTGTCAAATCAACAAGATCGTTGTAAGGCATTTTTTTAAGATACATTTAATTATATTTTTCAAAAGCACGTTTGATTTTCAACAGTAATACCAGACTGAGAGTATTGTATTTCCTAACTTCTTGGTATACGTTTTCAACCTTTCTAGAAAGCATGGAAATTTCCATTAGAAACGTATGTTTCTAATATTTTTTTTAAAATTCAAATTAATCCAAATTCGACAGAAAATAACAACATTGTTTTATGGAGTCGCAGTCAAATTGTTGTGTAGTTTTTTTAAACACATACAGATAATATAATTAGATATAGTAAGGTTAACAAATATTCAAATGGTAGGAGCACGAATCAACTTATCTCACTGACTAAAGGAGTAATTATTATTTATAGAGGTTATAGGTTCGAATACTAACGACTGCAAGAGTGATTGAACGTTTATTATAAAATAATTAAAAATATTTAAAACAGATATTACTTTATAATCATCTTAATTTAATAAAAAAATCTTCCAAAGGCGGCAGAAATTAAGGCAAGAGTGACGCGCTTTCCACTTCTCCAGCTTAGAAATTAGCTTCGATTATTTAATTTGTTGAATTTTGGTACCATTCTTCTAAACCTAAAAATAACCGTAATCTAAGGTCGTTCTTCGCCGTAATTAAAAGTCCAAAAAGCTGCCCTTCCTCAATCATACATTAATATACGAGACACAGACTGATAACCACCACTGAATCTTTAACATACATCAAAATTTATTCACCAAAGAAATGGTAAACTATGCACATAGTACCTCAACTATAGGCCACATTTTAGTTAGATCGTCTGGCTTAAAAATTTCAAATTGATTGTTTAAATTATCAAAAAATATAAAATGATCATTGGTTAGTCTAAAAACCAATGTAACAGTTAATAAAATAGGTATAATAATACATTTAATATTTATATTATTTTTTTAACTATAGTTTTAACAAATAATCTTTAATATTTAAATATTATTCTAATTTAATCCTAAATTTTTCAATCATTATCTTACTCCCTCACACTCATCATCATCTTCGCCATCACAACCTCATTCACTACATCCATATTATAGTGATGAGATTTGTTGGTTGAACAATGATGGTCATGTGTGTAGTAAATAAGGCTGTGGTGGTGAAGATTGTGATTTGAATGAAAGGGATGAAGATGATCGTAAATTAAGGGATTAAATTGGTATAATATTTAAGTGTTGAAGTTATTTTTAGAATTTAAATCGAATTAAAATAAAGTATAGATATTGAGGATTAGATTTATTGTTATGTTAATTTTTATGTTAGTTTTCTGTTTAAAAATTAATAATGGATAACAATTTTGTAACTTCAATCATTTGAGAGATTAATTTATAATTTTTAATAGTTGGATAACTCATTTAAAAAGTAATGTATGGTATAGGGACTACCAGTGTTGTTTACCCTTAATAATAATAAATCTTAGACATAGAAAAAAATATAATATTTGAGAGTTATTTGTAATGCGTTATACGCTAAGATCTTTTCCTTCTGACAGGGAGTTTGTCAACTGGTCCACTTTTGTGGGATGTGAATAACGATAATTTCAACATCAACTTACAAATTTGCACTTGATTTGTCTTGTGTTTGACACAAATATTCTATAATAATTTGGAGTAAATATAATATAGTGTATGTTTAAAGATAAATTTAATTATATGATATTGAATGTTTGTACGTTTGATATTTTTGGTGTTTGTATTTAATATTTTAAAAAAATATCGACAATTCATTTATTATTGAAGTCACTTAAATTCGTGCTTCTTTTTCTTTTTAGGTTTAATATTAAAAGATGTACAAATTTTATTTATTTTTTAAAAGTGTCTAAATTTTTTTTTCACTGTAAATATTCAACATTACAAAAGTTATATTTCAAGTGCCTTTATTATAAAAAACGTTAAAAACTATTAAAAATTAACCAATCATTTAGTATTTTACATGTGGAAATTTTTTATTTCTTTTAATTAAAAAAAATAAATTTCATAAACTAAAGAAAAATATAAACTTTTATATTTTGCGTAAAATAACTCACAATTTATGATACCCTAATTCTCAAATCTCTAAACCTTAATTTCTATTGGTGAGCGACAAAGAGGTGATCGATAGGGAAGAGACAACTAGTAGGGGATTTCGATGACGATAATGACAATGGCGATCAAAATGATGCGACAGAGAGTTTCTCATGGTATCTCGCTATTGTTCATCTTGCGTTTGTCCTTAGAAAATCCATCGATTACTTCAATAAAGTTGAATTCGAATCTTGGAAAACTCATCAATGGAAGAATTCTCCATCACTGCTTTCCCGTCGTCGCTGCACTCGCCGAGAATGACTTCAGTCAACCATAATTCTCTTTAATATCAATTTGGAGTGTGATTAGATATTTAAGGAGTTTGACTTTTTTGGTATTTAAAAAATGGAGTTTTTTTAAATAAAATAATTTTAAGTTTTTTAAAAAAAATTTTATAAACATGATCCTGTGAGATAACAAATTTGTAATGACTGTGACGGACTAAACATTTAAAAATAATAATATTTGCAACGTTACACATATGATGGTCGAAAAAATTTCAGTACCTAAATGAGAAAATAGATATAAATCAATATTTTTTATATTAAGCTTCTTTTTATAAAAGTAGTATGTCAATCGGTTAAAAATAGATTTTTGAAAAATGAGATAAAAATTGTTTTTTAAGATTTTTGTATTTGAGATTATTAAAAAGTAACATTTAAATAAATAAATGTATTTTAGATATGTTTAAAAAAAAAACATAAAAGAGTTATCATATAGTTAATTATATCATATGTCTTCAAAGTATGACCTTCATTTTAGATTGATCCTAAACTTTTGAATATTTTAATTTCATCCCTAAACTATGACTATAATTCTAAATTAGCTCTCAAAGTTTTGATTTATTTTAATTTCATCCCT